ATTATATAATAATAATATGCGGTTACAATTTTTTTCAACCTTTTTGTTTTCTTCTTCTTTATGTATAATATCCTTTCATATTCCTACTCACCTATATATAAAACCTCACTTTTCTCTACACCAATATATTTTATTCTTCTCTTTATCTTTTCAATTTCATTTTATTGATATGGTGAGTTCCAATTTTATCTTTTCATATTCTGTCTTTTACTTTTTTATCTTTATATTCTTAATTATTTTATCATTATTAGTTTTCATTATATATACAATATAATGTAATATAATGCGTTAAAATGAAGGAAGATGAATAGATGCTTAAAATTTATAATAATATATATTTATTATTATTTATTATTATATAATAATAATATGAGGTTACAATTTTTTCCAACCTTTTTGTTTTCTTCTTCTTTATGTACAATACCCTTTCCTCTTCCTATTCACTTATATATAAACTGTCACGCCCCAAAACCCGAATTCGAGGCGCGACAAACGCCGTGCACTCGTGAGAGGGTCCCACAATTGCACAAGACTCGGAACTTATCATATCATAATCTAATACCACAAAATGTGAAGGTCAATTCTCTTGTAACTAACAATCCATTCAATGAATTTATAAAATCTCCAATTAAAATCCAGTTTACAAGATCATGATTTATTTCTAAAATCTATATCAAATCTCGAAATGGTTAGCTTTCGAACTCGTCACTTCTCGTGGTTTCCCTGTCCTCGGTTTCGCTTCCTGAAATGGTGGACAAGGAAAACTATGAGATAAACTCAGTAAGTAAATATGGAGTGCCCTTAATTAAACGTATAGCATGCCAACAAGTATAATCACGAAAAATGGTTACAGTGCGGGAACGAAATAGATGTCTCTATAGGTCACGACCAGTGTTATAAACCTCCCACTGGCAGGCTACAGTATTTGCTGGTGTATAATCGCCACTAGCAAGGCAACAGAAACGAACCGGCTTTATCAGTAACATGTCGACATGTGCTAGCATTTAACCCCCACTAGTAGGGTTACAATAACATAAACAGGAACCTGAATTTTGCCCAGTTCTGCTAGTGGCTCCTTCACGCTTGAGTTGCCGTTCTACTTTCACTGCCATATGCACCATATCTTCCAATTCCACATAATGCTGCAGCTCCACCACATTAGCTATATCACGATTTAAACCATGCAGAAACCGTGCCATTGTTGCTTCTCTATCCTCTTCGACATTCGCTCTGACCGTTGTGATTTCCATCTCCTTGTGATAATCCTCAACGCTTCTGGACCCTTGAGTAAGGCCCTGTAATCGTTGATAGAGATCGCGGTAGTAGTGACTAGGAACAAACCGTTTTCTCATCACAGCCTTCATCTCTTCCCAAGTGTCAACAAGATGCTCTCGATTTCTACGTCGACTAAGCACAAGCTGATCCCACCACACCACAGCGTAATCAGTAAATTCCACCGCTGCTAGTTTCACCTTTTTCTCCTTAGAGTAGTTATGGCAATTAAACACCAATTCCACATTCTTTTCCCACTCCAAGTACACATCTGGATCATTTTTGCAAATGGAGGAATCTTCATCTTGATGCTGCCTAAGTCATGATCTTGCCGATCTCCCCACCTTGCCAGATTTTGGTCTCCTTTGTTAAATTTATATCTTTGACCCCCTCTAC